GGACAGTGTGCAGGAGAGTGGGTGCAGTGGGTGCTACCAAGGGGCTGTTTCTAAAGTCTGGGCATGAGGGGTCAGTGGCTCCATCCAGAGAAGTTGCGGAGGTGATGACGGAGACAGCAGTGGTGGAGATCCAAACCATAGGCTTGGTGATGGATAAGCAGACAGGGAGGTATCAAAAGTTGAGTCTTAGCTTTTGATTTAAAGTCTTTGTTGTATTTAGACGTTGTCACTCATTCAGTATTGAAATGAAAAAGAAGAGAGAGAAAAAAAAAGACAGCTACACGAGGCCTACCCTAGCTTCCTTTCAAAAGGTCTCCATTAATAAGTCTCCTTTTCAACTAAGAATTTGTTGCAAAATTCATTGATTGATGATTTTAGTAGCAGGTAAATATGTAAATATCTCTGCCAGGAACAATAAAACCCAGGTTGGCATTTGCAGTTTCATCTTCTTTTGACACATATAGAATTTTTACTGATATAAATTGTAATTATATGCAAAGTGAGCAAATACAACTTTTAAAAAATAAAGACTTAAATATCTTTTTTAACTAGGGAAAAATCCCCATAAAACATTATTTTTTCCATTGGGTTTCAGGTGCTCCCTGCTCTGTTCAGAGCTAATGTTATGTATGGCACAGTTTTTCAGGCGGTAAGAGGATCACATTTGTATTGATTATATATTGCTGAGGGATAAGCTTCCATCTTTCTCTTTTATTAAAAGTATGTCTGTTGGCAGGGATTTAGTGAGTCTGGATAAATATCTTTTGTTGTGTTAATGAAGACTGGCAACAGCTCTAGTTATCTTGTAAAATGAGCTATTGGTAAATAAAGTTAGTATCATAATGGAAATTTTTGTTATAATGATCTCTGTTACAAAAGAAGCTTTCAGTTGTGTAATCATATGCTTAATACAGTACAACTTCAGAACCCAAAAAAACTTTTGCATTATTTTAGCCATAAATTTTTATGTGGTATGTTTCACTAGAGCAAATTGGAGGGGAAAATTGAGCCCATATTCCTTATTTGAAAGAAAATTTTGCTATTCGAACATGTAGAAGTTAGGAAAGCTGATTACATTCACTTTGGTTTTATAGAGAGAGAAATTATGACTGAAAGCGTAATGTATTTAAATAAAGTATTTAGATGGTAGACTATGACCTGCCAGTGATTTTTATGTTTTTTAAATGATTGGAACAAAAATCAGAAGAATAATATTTGGTGACTTAGGAAGTAATATGAAATTTAAATTCCAGTGCCCAATTGTATGCGCTACAGCAGTAGATTGAGTAGTTGTGACAGTCTATATGGCCTAAAAAGAACAAAAATACTTACTATACATCACTGGTCTGGATCTCCCCAATGCAAGAATGGAAATTATTTAGGTCATTCAAAACCAACTGCATGATTTTAAAAGAGGGGAGACAGAAGTATGCATTGCACTAAGCAGAGAAAAACATCTCTACAATAGCCAAAACCGGTTTGGCTCAGTGGATAGAGCGTTGGCCTGCGAACTGAAGGGTCCCGAGTCTGATTCCGGTCAAGGGCGTGTACCTGGGTTGTGGGCACATCCCCAGGGGGTGTGCGGGAGGCAGCTGATGGATGTTTCTCTCTCATCGATGTTTCTAACTCTCTCTCTCCCTTCCAAGTCGGTGCTGAAAACAGGCTAGTTGAGCTGACTTTCAAATTTATCCAAGTGGTTTCTCACAAGTATGTATCTTATAAGTACTTTCTATTGGTATTACGTTTCGCGAGTAGGAAGTTAGGGTATTTTCCTTTGTTTGATGCCAATTGCTTGTTCTCGCTTAGAGCAAGCACTCCTGGGTTGTAATGTGTTTGTACTAGTAAGAGCCTAATCCGTGTAATTCATCTAACTTCAATTTCAACCTGTTTTTAGTGATGGCTTCATTATTGTGCAACAAGCTCTCCAGTCTTAAAACACAAATTAGTTGTTTTTAAAAAAATGGACTTCAAGTGTTTTCCTCATTGTTCATATGTCATTCCTGACCAATCGTTTTTTTGCTTTCAAAAAACGTATTTTATGTCACTTCCCTGGTCACGATCCCTCCGTGGCTTCGCATTGCACTTAAAATCAAGTTCCAGTTTGTTAACAAGGTGAGGTGTCAGCTTAAAGCTCTTCCCCTCAGAGAGGCCTCTTTGAGCGTCCTTTCTAAAATGCGTCTCTCTCTGTCCCCCCCCCATGTTAGTCTTTATCCCTGTTTATTCCCTAATAGCATTTATCACAAGTTGTAATGTTTGTGTTTGTTACTTGTTTTTCTGCCCACCTCCTCCGTAAAGGAAGGAACCATGAGTCTTGTTTACCATTGTCCCCTCCACGCTGGACATAGAGCAGGCTCTCCCTGAAAGAAATGAAGGAAGGAGATCTACTTGCAGTGCTACCATTTAGCCTGAGACCGCATCACAGAGAATTACTGTGGCTGCCTCCTGAGCTAAAAGACCTCTTAAATTTCTTTTATGCCCTCACTCCTAACCTGCCCGACTGATTTTATAAAATACTGTCTTGATAGAACCATTCCCTTTCTCAAGACCTGACAGCAGTTCAAGATTGCCTCCCGAGTCAAGTTCAGACTCCTTTGCTTGTGCCTTAAGGCTCTCCGCAATCATAATCTTCTCCTCGTTCACAGCACCCTTGGCGTTCATGAGGTTGGCCTCTCTCACAGGCCACAAGCGTTTGCCTTGATGTGTACTATCTTCCCACACCCCTCAGAAGCCCTGCAGCTTCGGTGCCTCCTCCAGTAAATCCAACCCTTCACCTGTAAATTCCCACTGAAACTCTTGCCGACCCACACTTAGAACCTAGATCTTCATCACGTTCTTGAATAGATTCTCCAATATACATCTTGTTTGTACAATGGTATTGAGCATCCATCGTGAAAGTTTTGCCTCAGAATCTAATGAGAAGCTAATACTAACTTTAGCACAATATATTATAGAGAATGATATGAATGGAGGTGCTTTGTCATATGGTTGTCAACTTGGGGAGTAGAGAAAGATTAAAATGATATCATTTCTGTCTTGGATATTAATTGGGATATTTGATATCAATGAACAAAGTTGCATTTTGTCTTTATTAAATTTCATTGAGTATAGCGAGGCTTCAGATTGTTCTGATCTATGGCATATAGAGAATTGCTTATAAATTTAATGGAATTCCATTCCATTAATTCAGAATTTGTGGTAATAGGGCAGGAGGCTGTATTATCTCTATGAGAAAAAGTGGGTTTATCACTGTGCAAAAAAAAAAAAAAAAGATTGAAGAGAAAATATCTTCTTAGAATTATTCTTGTATTTTATAAACAATATTTAATGACAGCACTATAGTAATCCTTACTAAATTTTTAAAAGCAAGAGCCCCACCCCCAGAACTTCATTTAGAATTATTGATAGATTCAAATTTCTATTCACAATAAAATTAAGAACACTTAATATCACTGTGTTTTATAAATGCTTTCTTTTTAATTTAGTTATTGTTTTTACTTATTCAGATCTATTGCCTTCTAGTTCATTTCAATTAGGAGATTTAAATTCCTGAGTCCCTGGAAGTTTTAAACTTAAGTTTAGAATGACCTAGTTATTAAGACAGACATTATATAGTTTGGAAAAATTATCTTTTTTAGTTGCTTTTGATGTTGACAAGGCAGATCATTGTAATTCATTTATTTGCTTTTTTTGTGTGTATTGTATCAAATATTTGAAGAAAAGGAAATTTACTTTTGTTTTAAATTTATTTTATATATATATTTTATATATACTGGAGTATATATAATACTTGAATTATGTTTACTTAATTACAAAATGTATTCCTTTTAGATCTATTAAGAAATATATGTGTTTAATATAAGGTGTTACCTTCTCTCCCAGAAAAGTAACTTTCTTGAGGTGACCCAGCCATTGAAGAAAAACTTGAACTGGGAAACCCCACCCTGTCCGGCTCCTGAGCCCATGCTCTTCACAGACCCACAGATGATCACAATGCAGAATGATTACCGCAGTGATAGAGAGGTGCTCATCGGCTCCAAATTCTCTGATGTTCTTAATGTCCTTTTTATGAACGTAAAGGGCTGAGTATGTGTGTAGAATCACAGAATATGGAAGCAGAAGGGCCTGGAAAACTCAAATATTGTTCTAAGTACTTTACATAAATTATTTCATTTAATCTTCAAGACAATCCTATGAGATTTTTTACTTCTGCAGTTGGGGAAACCCAGGCTAAATAGAGGTTAAATAACTTATGTTCCCAAGTTCTTAAGTATTCTAAATTCTGTCCCCCTGAAATGTTTCTTTCCAGCTCATAAAGTAAGGGCTTTCTTACTCACCAGTAATGATTTTCCTATAGCAAGCAACTTTTAGACTTGTCTCTACAATTCTTACAGCATGGCAGTGTTCTCGCCTAGGTCTCAATGGTCAGAAATAAAGTCGGGGTCACCCGAAGGGCTCTGTGCTACCTTTCTTTGTAGTAGAACTTATATAAAATGTAGTTATTGATATTGTCATGTCAAAATGCACAGCTCATAGAATTATATATTTCCAGTATTTTATTAAAGATATGCAAATTAGTTCATTTATGGATGTGGAGTTGTAACACAATGGATATATGATATTTTACCAGGAACATGGTCTATTTTTCTGTTTTTAACTCAAAATACCATTCATGCTTCTCTTTGACATGTTTTCTTAGTATAAGTATTTTGTTATTTGTTAGTCTTGACACCACACTCTGGACTTTTATCACAGCCTGTTGCCCTAGTATTCCTATGTTTGCATGTGGACCAAAGAGGACCAGCTGCCTTCTGCAGACACTTCAAGTGCGCATTGATGTTCCCACAGTGGTGATTGGTGATGTTATTTTGAAACACTGCTGCCCTGTGGGTAAGCAGAAGAATACACTGCCTGGGGGAACAGATTGATCAGTCTTGAAATGGATTGATCAGTTATCAGTGCTTAAAGGCAGAGCAAGAATAATGAAAGAAGATTAAAGGAAGGATGTGAATACAAACATGTGTGTGGGGGTGGGGAGGGGGGAAGCTCAGAGAGTTCCCTCTTAGTGGTGTCTCTCTCCTACCCCCATTTCTATCTTTGTCTCTCTGATTCATCAAAAAAAATGACCCTAAAAATTGTAAATTATTTTTTTAATCATTGACTGTGACAGACTTGGGTATTCTAACTTTAAAAAGGTCTCTTCAAAATAAAACTTATTGCTCTGGCTGGTTTGGCTTAGCGGATAGAGCGTCAGCCTTCAGACTAAAGGGTCCCAGGTTCTATTCTGGTCAAGGGCACATGCCTGGGTTGCGGGCTCGATCCCCAGTGTGGGGCTGCAGGAGGCAGCCGATCAATGATACTCTCTCATCATTGATGTTTCTATCCCTCTCTTTTCCTCTCTGAAATCAATAAAAATATATTTAAAAATAAAGTAAAATAAAACTTATCAACTCTTTATTCCAAATCCACATGTGTGATGTGGTACTATTTATCCACCAGAGGCAATAACAATAAGGTGTTTGTAAGCTTATGTGAGTGGCATCCTGCTCTTTTTTTTTATTATTATTACAATCGCAGTGTGATCTAACTCAAAATATTTTCAAATATCCCTATTCTTTCTGAGCTATAATTTGAATCAGTGCCACAATGCATGTTTTATACTATTTATAGCATATCTTGAGACCCAAAGTTTTAGAATGGTATTGCTTGCTTTTTAGGCTTTGGCAAAAGAAGCAGTGGCATGATTCACGTTC